GTCTATGAAATGAAAAATAAAAAATAAATAAAAAGAACCCATCGGTTTTATGTGTTTAGGCTATTATTTTTGTAATTTGATCGATTCTTTTGAAGAAACTCTGTTAAGAATAATACATAGACGATTTGCATGATCTATATTTCATACAATAAATGCAAAGCATGTAAGAAAATTATTCAACTTGATAGTTACGAATATTTTTGATTAAGGTAAAAAATCAAACCTTTTTTGACTTTTTTTAGTTACATGTATTATGTTTAAAAAAACAACAATCCCAGGGAGGTAGTTTGCTTAAAATATCCAGAAAGGTAAACTCTAGCTGGGGCCTATTTTTTCATTTTTTTCGGCATTAGCGAACTTAATTAGATATGGCTTCTTTTTAAATGAATGGGTTTTCCCAAAATTATTGACTGACAATGAGAAAACAGGATGCAAATTAAAATTGATGCACACGATTCACTCTCACAGTCACTTTCCCTGCATAACATTTACCTGAAGTACACGTATCTCCCAATAAGGTAATGACCCCGAACATCAAGTAACCAATGCAATCAGTCGACTTGATTGAACATGTTTTGCATATTCCTAAATTTTACAATTCAAATTGTTTGATTAGTTTAAGATTAACTTCAATTCAAAACGAATTCATTAGTTCAAGTCTGTATGTAAGTTATTAGTTTGACTTGGATATATGCCGTGCAAGTAGAAACGAAATGGCGCTGCTTGATGTTGTCATTGGCTTACTAGACTGACGGCGTGGCAGCGCCTAATTCTGTATTCCAGCGGTAAGTACTCTGATAATCTAGAACATTTATGATATTGACTGTAAACTAAGCAGTGTAGTTCATCTAACTAAAAATCACCTGCCTATCACTGTGTTATTGTTCTAGTCATTTCTTTTAGCTTATGTTTATTAGCAATATTACATTATTCTACAATGCTGTTAGAAAAATACACGAATAGAGAATTGTTTCTGCTACAGCCCATTGCCCTAGGTTTGGTTGTTCGAGGGATTCATGGTATATGCTTTTTGGTTTAGTGCCTTTTAAGTTTCGCGTGTTGATACTGTGGTAGACTCTTTTTAAAATGTGTTCTTGAACTGATATGATGAGAACCAAAGGAATATATAAAAAAAACTGTGGAAATACAATAATGCATTTTTATTTTTCAGTCGAAAACATGACACTATCTTATACGTTTATTGATTGTTTGATTTTACATTTAATGCAAATTCTATTTTTAAAGTAATATAGAAGTGATACATTACACATAATAAAATATAAGAATGACTAGCATTTGAAAACATTATCACCAAACTAAATGAAATTATTACATTGTAAATTTTTTTACCCTATCCAAACACGACACCCATTTGGTAAAAAACAACAAATTTATGGATATGACACAAAAATAGATTTACATATTCAAATTCAATATCTTGCTCGTTTCGTCGATAAGTAGAAATCCAATGATATTTGTCTTTAATAAATAGTAAACCTTACACTATAAAGTCGTTAGACATGCATGCTGTATGTTGGCATTTAACAGTACAAAAAGATAACAAATTCGTTCATAATAACTCAAAAACCAGGCACGATATTGTTTAAATGCCATTTTCTATTTATATTCTACTATTTTCTTGTTCTGACTGTAAAATACATCTAAAGATTTTTCATAATTGTTATTAGATATAACGCGTTTGACAACCCTTCTCAAATGACCTTAAGGTAAACTAAATCATCACAAAGCTAATTTACCATTTTTAGAAAACAAATCGTGTGTCACATTACAATAAAAAGGGAAATGAAAAAAATAATTAAAAATACCTTTTATTTTTTTTCACTTATAAACGTATTCAAATATATCAAGCCGATACGTCATTACGTGGTAGAAATTAATGAAACTTTTTTTAAAAAATAAAATATACTTAATCGTGTGTTTTTTATATCTAAATTATATAAAACTGAACTTACCTGATATAGACTGTAAAAGACCTGCTGCAGTCTCTGCCTGTTCTTACCATAGACAACATAGGTTACCTGTTTGCTTTTCCTATGCACGCAACCAGTGAGGATAGCCAAAAAAAGCTTTAAGTTGTGAGACGCACCTATTTGGTGTTTGCTACCCAGCGGACGTGGCATACTTAAAGTAGTACACAGTTTAAATGTGTACCCATCATAAAGCAAGAATAACGAGGAGTTGATACATTTACAAGATAACTGGTATTTTTCTAAAAAGATTTTTTAACGCCTTTGAAAACACTTGACAACCAAATGAGTTTTGTAAACGTAATCATTTAAAAAAAAAGAAAAACATATATTGTTACAAACTTGTGAAGTAGCCACTAGAAATACAAACTAAAGATGCAATTCTAAAGTTTAGGAAGCAAACAAACTAAACAATGTACAGCACTATATGGCTATATCGTCCATCAATCAGTTCTAAAGTTTAGGAGCAAACAAACTTAACAATGCAGAGTACTATATGGCTATATCGTCCATCAATCAGTTCTAAAGTTTAGAAGCAAACAAACTAAACAATGTACAGCACTATATGGCTATATCGTCCATCAATCAGTTCTAAAGTTTAGAAGCAAACAAACTAAACAATGTACAGCACTATATGGCTATATCGTCCATCAATCAGTTCTAAAGTTTAGGAAGCAAACAAACTAAACAATGTACAGCACTATATGGCTATATCGTCCATCAATCAGTTGTAAAGTTTAGAAGCAAACAAACTAAACAATGTACAGCACTATATGGCTATATCGTCCATCAATCAGTTGTAAAGTTTAGAAGCAAACAAACTAAACAATGTACAGCACTATATGGCTATATCGTCCATCAATCAGTTGTAAAGTTTAGAAGCAAACAAACTAAACAATGTACAGCACTATATGGCTATATCGTCCATCAATCAGTTGTAAAGTTTAGAAGCAAACAAACTAAACAATGTACAGCACTATATGGCTATATCGTCCATCAATCAGTTCTAAAGTTTAGAAGCAAACAAACTAAACAATGTACAGCACTATATGGCTATATCGTCCATCAATCAGTTGTAAAGTTTAGAAGCAAACAAACTAAACAATGTACAGCACTATATGGCTATATCGCCCATCAATCAGTTCTAAAGTTTCGGAAGCAAACAAACTAAACAATGTACAGCACAATATGGCTATATCGTCCATCAGTCATTTCTAAAGTTTAGGAAGCAAACAAACTTAACAATGTACAGCACAATATGGCTATATCGTCCATCAATCAGTTGTAAAGTTTAGAAGCAAACAAACTAAACAATGTACAGCACTATATGGCTATATCGGCCATCAATTAGTCCTAAGGGTCAAAAAAGTTTAAAACCCATGTCTACAGCGCCAGACACATATGGAGATATACAGCATAGTTTTTAAAATGATATATCATTTTCTCTTAAAGCAGTATTTTCAAAACGTGCAAGAATGTATTCCTGCTAGGAGGTCACAACCAACTTCGTATTTCACATTGACTACACTATCTTGGTGTTGAAGCCATTCAAGCTAGCGTTAATAATCTGTACTACTTTCATTGCTAAAAAAATACCGGTAGGATAGTCAGATATTTTTGCATTAGATTTGCCTGAAAATGAACCAAAGTAGAGAACACAAATGAAACGAAATACCTGCAAAAACCTAGCAGAGATGGAAATATGTATATTACGATATTGATGTTTGTTAAAGGATTGGTTTTTATGACGATATTTTCCCAGATTTGTTTTTGACTTCCTAACAAGTGATCTTGCTGATCCAACCCAGAAATGCGCAAGTAGGCTCCATTCGACAAATAAACTAACCAATGAATTACGTAAGAATATCAAGATAGGACAATGCAGTTTTCTTATTATTAATCATACCAATATTCAGTCAAAGCTATTACTTTTTATAGTGCAAAATAGTCTTTAAAATAAGGTTATCAGGTGTCCTATGATAAATAACAACTAAGATTAAATAAACACCCTATGGCTATATCGTCATTACTACGATACTGAACGACAGTATGTTCACTTAACAATCTCCAATAGTTGTATTACATATTTATGTATGTATTTATTGGTATATCGATGCTAGATACGATTCTTACGTTGTACTTCTTTTTTCTCTAAGTTATTATACTAAGTTGACAGTTTTAACAGTTTTATTACATGCGCCTACACACGTGTCTATATATATATAGCGATAACTAGTTTTAAATGTCCATGCTTTATTTATATATACATAACTTAGTCCACCTTTTTTATGATCCGGTTTCTCCCTTAATTGTTGTGTATCATCCTTGTTATTGTTTTGTATCGTCTTTGCTGTCAATCTTGTTTCTTCTTATTTTTACTACTATGGATCCAGTAACCATCTACAACAAAGCTAAAAGAGGAGCCCAGAGAGTTGTTACCTTGCAGCACCATCTTAGCAACTACAACTCGTACATCCAGGACAATATTGTACCCCAAGGTTTACGATTCAAGTGCACGCCCAATGTTGGTCTTATGTCTAAATCTGCTACTGCACGCTTTGACCACATCAAACTTGTCAGTCAAACTAAACTTCTACATCTTCTTCAAGGCATTTGTAATAGTAAACTTTCTGGTGCGTCTAAGGAACTGGCAGTTAATTTAAAACACCTGACTTCAGTTATACCCGAGAATGATAGAAACATCTACCTTCAGAAGATTCAATATTTCGAAAACATCAAACGTACATCTCTTAGACATACACAAATGAAAATTTCCACCGTGATGGGCTTCACAATCTCCCGGAAACTGACATCAACTCACGTCGCACAGTTAAAAAGACAAGAGGGAGAAGGTTCCAACGTAAACACCAAACTGTCAAGACCACTACGAGTAATACAGTCGTCAACCTATCAAACCATCCCCTTACAGAACAAGAGCATGCTCTTCTTACTAAGGGTCTTAATTTTTGTCCGATCCCCAAAAGCCCCAACAATGCAGAGCTGATCGAAGACATGGACAGATTCTACAGGCTACTTCGCCTACGCGTGTACTTTGCTAAAGATCCTGACCCAGTTGATGTAGAGGATACTCAGTCAGAAGTGTCTCCCGTCGCACCCCTGATCAATCCATTCAAACATAAAAGTAAATGGAACCCGTCTCCCAGCAGAGTACCTGCTCTCGAAGCGTTCATCAGTGCAGTGAAGGAGGAAGTAACCGTCAACTTAAACAACATGCAGACAACCAAGGACAATCTGTCACCTTTGGAACGCCAGGCACTCAAATCCCTGAAAAATAATTCGGACATTGTCATCAAGCCAGCGGACAAAGGCTGTGCAGTTGTTATAATGAACAGGGACGACTACATCCCAGAGGCTAATCGGCAACTCTCCAACGAGACATTTTATCGTAAGGTCGATAGTGACCTGACGCACGTACACGCACAGCAGATTAATAATACCATCAATAGAATTTTAGAGAAGGGTGATATTGACAACGATACCGCGAAATTCCTGTGCCCCGAAAATCCTCAAGCAGGAAAGTTTTATCATCTTCCTAAAATTCAAAAACCTGGGAACCCTGGTAGACCCATCAATAACTCGATCAACCACCCGACGGAGAAAATTTCCCAGTTTGTTGACTTCCACCTCCGACCATTCGTAGAACATTTACCATCTTTTTTAAAAGACACCACAGACTATCTAAACAAAACACCTGCTAAGAACTTACCAGAAGGTACCTTGTTAGTTACGATGGACGTCGTTTCCCTCTACACTAACATACCGCATGACGGCGGCATTGCAGTCTGTCGCGAGGCATGGGAACGGCGCAGTACCAAAAACCCATCGACTGATAGCCTGGTGGATTTACTGAGACTTGTCCTCACACTTAACAACTTTACATTCAATGAGGATAACTACATACAAGTTAGTGGTACAGCCATGGGTACTAAGATGGCCCCCTCATATGCCAATGTTTTTATGGGACATCTTGAAGCCCAACTTTTAACATCTGCTCCAATTAAGCCATTTAGCTGGTTGAGATTTATCGATGACGTTGAAATCAAATGGACATCGGGTCGGGACTCCCTTGACGAGTTTATTGAGTACGCTAACGCGTTCCACGCCACCATCAAATTCACAGCGGATATCTCAACGGAGAGCAACACATTTTTGGACACCAGTTCCACTCTGATTGATGGTAAGATTAGTACGGACCTCCACTGTAAACCTACTGACACACACCAGTATCTCCTCCCATCCAGTTGTCACCCCTCGCACACCACGAGAAGCATACCCTACTCCCAAGCTCTGCGCATCAGGCGTATTATTTCGGATGACATCATCTTTGAACGCAGATGTTCAGAGTTAAAGTCCCATCTTCTTGGCAGAGGATACAAATCTACTTTGATAGATCGGGAAATAGACAAAGTGAGGGTACTGGACAGGGCCAGTCTGCTTGTATACAAAGTCAGACCCCATACACAAAGGGTACCTTGCGTAGTCATGTTCCAACAAGACATGCCGCCACTTCCATCTATCTTGGAAAAGCACTGGCGCATCATCGAATCTTCAGCGAAACTTGGGCAGATCTTTCCAGAGTCTCCTATACTGGCATATCGTAGACCTAAACACATTAGAGATCTTGTGTTAAGCAGCAAGCTACCTACACCTAACCCTGCTGCGGCGAAAGGCTCTTTCAATACCTGTAACAAGAAGGTGTGCAAACTGTGTCCATACACGCGCCCCACAAATACATTTCAATGTACAATCAACGGCAAAGTGTATCACATACTACAAACGCTGACTTGCACATCAGTCAATGTGGTGTACCTTATTACCTGCAATAAATGCAAGTTACAGTACGTGGGCGAGACATGCACCCAGGTCATTGTCAGGATCAACAACCACCGCTGCTCCATCAAGCAGAACAAACCAGACTTCCCTGTGGCAAGGCATTTTAATATGCCTAGCCATAGTTGGAAAGACATGCAGGCTGTTGCCATAGATCATTGCCCTACATGGGATGAAACGAGATGACGTACGAGAGAACGGTTTTTGATCACCAATCTACAAACCCGCTACCCTCGAGGTATGAACGAACGATAGGCGGTTGCCATCCGCTCGTTTTCCTTCCAGGGGGCATTTGACCTAATGATTCATTACTGCACAGTTGGTCTGCTATCTCGCCTGCCTGCTGCTTAATGTCAGTGTGTGTGACCAACAGCCGTTGTCAGATTTATTTTGCAGATTTATACAGTATCTTTGCAATTTTATCTACTTATTCATCCTGCACTCACTTATTTGATAATTACATGCATTATTCCTGCAAACCAAAAGAGGCGTCTAAGTGGGACCCCCTGCTGTGACTTAGATCCATCGCAGTATTGAGAGGCGACTAATGAGACATTCCGTAGCAGATTGGAGATTTTTCACATTTACCGGACCAGATTTCCAAATGCACACAAATGCACATGTTCCACGTTTTTGATATCTCTCGTTGACTCACTTTATATGACAGTGCATCTTGCGCAAGAATAGGTCCTCAACATCAGCGTTCCTTGTCCGCGATGCTCTCAGCTTAATTGCTGCCTTCGGCTGTCTTTAGCCGAGGGGACTATTGGTTTTATATAATAGCTATATTTTCAATTATAGTATATCAATTCTATCTTCTTGTAATATGATGTATATGTACATGTAACTGTTCTGTTTCACTGTGTCTTGAAAAAGGAGCGGATCGCTCCGAAAATTTGACAACCTAAACTTGTCCACACTGTTGGAATTACTTCTTTGCCCCATATA